ATAAAAATTATTGTTTCGTTTTGAGATTTATATGACATTGTTGGCCTAGGTCATTTATTTTTCCGTGAAGTAAACCAGTTGACTTTCGTAGTACATACCGTGCCGCATCCTGCTCGTTGCCGCCTTAAAGCATGGCGATAGGCAAACCCGCCCGACACCCCTGCAAAGCGGTACAGCATCCACGAAATTCCAGGCGGTACATACACATGCCTGGTCAGACTGTACCTGTAGCTTTCGGTGCTGCCACACCGCCACTACATACCACCAACCCACCAACCAACCAACCGGTCGCTGCGGGTGCTGTGTGCAGTGCGACTGCATCTTTGTGCGATATATTTATCCTTTTCTCAAAATGGCGGCGTGCATACATTTTATAGCCGTGGCGTTTACTTTTACGGCTGCCGAGAGAGATGAACCCCCGGCCCAACGCTGCCACCGCCTCCTCCTCCTCCCCCTCCTCACTCTAATTTTTCTCGCTGAATATGTTGTTTTATATTCTCCTTGATGGGCTTCGGCTGATGATAAGGGCGAGGCAATGGCGTGGAAGTTCCCCCGCGGATGGTGCTACCCCAGGCGGGAGGGGTGGGGGTGGGGTGGAGGTGCCCACAACCACACGTCCAGCTCGCGGCCCGGCCGGGTAGCCAAAGTCGTCGCCACGTCGCCGCCGCAGCGTCGCGGTCCCGGCCGCGCCCCTCCGCCCAGCCCGAACTGCTGCTGCAGCTGCAATCCTTTCGCAGATCGGGGCGAGGGGACGCTCCACACGATCGTAAACAGGGCGACGGCACGGCGGGCCGCCCCCCCAAAAAATACATTCGGCTTATTTTGAATCGAGTATATAAAATGAAGCGGTTAACGACCTCGTAATAACGCAAAATAACAATAATACGTGTGGCATATGACGCGTGTAAATCCATCAGCCGCGGCGGGACGGGCGCGCCGGTGCAGCCTGTTGTATGCAAAGTGACGTACACTGCCAAGAGCTGCTGGCGGGGCAGAGAGCGCCGCGGCGGGAGGAGTGGGTTGTATTGTGGGTTGAACGACCCCCGCGCCTCTCGAAAACTTTGGTGACTACTCCTCTGTACTTTGCCTCATGAGAAGTCTTCCAATCAGTCACATAATTTTCGATCTGCCCCCCCCCCCCCCTTTACCTCTCCTTTCTCTCCCTCCTCATCAGTAGGGAGGTCTGAACCACTGAACGGGTGCGATGAGGCAACGAAAAGCGTGGGTTACCGAGCTTATGGGGGTGACGCATTTTCGTAGAAAACAAATAAAAACACCGATAGAATGTGGCGGGTGATTTTTATCTGGCAATCAGCACCCATTGAGAAGGCGGCAGAGGACCACGCCGCGCCACGCCCGACGCGGCCCTGTGTGGACCAGCGGTCCAATGGACGATATAGATCGGCCTTCAAGAGCGCAGCCCTTTAAAGAGGGAGAGCGGGAGGGGAGAGAGGACCGAGAGGACAAGTGAGAGGGAGCGAGAAAGAGCAGGAGGGAGCGAGAGAGAGGGAGACAGAAAGAGAGAGAGCGTCAGGGTGGAGGGGGAGAGAAACACTTTGTGCGTGACGCCCGCGCGCCCAGTTCGGTCCGTTCTGAGTGTTTAGCACAATAATGAGGATAATGTGGAGGGAGGAAGTGAAGTGCGTTTAAAAGCTGAATGTTTCATTTCATTACGGTCCGTGCTCCAGGCGCGGAGCAGGGAAACACACACACACATACCCGCACAGCTACTTTCTCACGTGTGGACGCGTTCACGCGACTCGCTACCGCGGCAGCCGCGGCTCGGAAAGGGTTTGCTGATAAGACCGTTAGGCATCTTCCTTCTCGAGCGGATAGGCCAATGTCGGTAAGACCCGCGATAAGTAACCAAGTAGTAAGAAATTTTGTTCAACTCACCATTGTCGTTTGAGTCTGCGGTCTCTTGGCACCAGCAACGGTTGCAAAGATCTCGATGTTGTAGCAGGGCGCGGACGGCGGCCCGGCCTCACGGTCCATGGGCTGCGTGGTGGAGATGACGCCGAGCTTGGGGTCCACGGCGAACAGCCTCTCGGCCTGCGCGCCCGACCCGCAGGCCGTCACGTTGGTCACGTACAACTCCACCGCGGCGTCGGGGCGAGAGGGTACGATGGCGCGCACTGAGGCCACGGACGTCCCCGCCGGCATGTTCTCGGCGACCTGGGCACGCACCGCGCCGCCCTGAAACTCGGGGCCGGGCTCGCCCGCGGCCAGGACTGTCATGTACGCGTCGGTGGAGAGGCGCTCCACCTGCACGGCCTCATCTGTGGCCTTGACGGCCAGCTCGTAGCGGTAGAAGGTGGGGTTGGGCGGCCGGCGGAGGCTCAGGATACCCGACGACCTCTCGAGGCCGAAGAGCTCGCGGTCGCCGCTGACCAGCTCGTACGTGACTAGCCCGTTGCTGCCAGAGTCCGCGTCCCTCGCCGCCACGGTGGTCACCACGTCGCCGGACGCGGGCAGCACGACGGCAGCCATGGAGGTAAACACTGGTGCGTTATCGTTCACGTCCTCCACGATGACGGTCACCAGCTTCTCTGCGCTGAGGCGCGTCGCGGCTGGCTCGGCCTGGTCGGAGGCCACGACAGTGAGCCGGAAGGTGTCCACGGACTCGCGGTCGATGGGGAGCAGTGTGTGCACGACGCCCGTGCTCGGGTTGATGCCAAAGTGTTGACGGCCGTTGCGTCCCTCGGGCTCCTGCGCCGTGATGGAGTACACGATCCTGCCGTTGGCGCCCGAGTCGGGGTCCTCCGCTGTGACGGTCACGATGGGGGTGTTGACGGGGATGCCCTCGCGGATCTGGCGGACGATAGCCGTGTTGGGGAAGGCCGGTGGGTTGTCGTTGCTGTCCAGGACGGTCACTCGGAAGGGGATGGTGGTGGAGAGCCGGGGGCTCCCTCCGTCCGAGGCCGTGATGTTGAGTGTGTAGGCGTTGATGTCCTCGAAGTCCAGCGGCTTGTACAGGTAGAGCTCGCCAGAGGCAGGGTCCACGTGGAACGTGTCCCTTCGGTTTCCCGCCGTGATGGAGAAGGTCACCTCGCTGTTCACACCCAGGTCGGCGTCGGAGCCTCTGAATTGGATGAGTCTCGTGTTGATGGCGGTGGTCTCCAGCACCTCGATGTGGGACTCGCTCTGCGTGAACTCGGGGGCGTTGTCGTTCTCGTCCAGGACGTCGACAACGACTGTAGTGCTGCTGTTGAGCCGCGTGTTGAGCCCCGCGTCCATAGCCACCACCTGCAGCGTGTACTTTGAGACTGTCTCGCGGTCCAATGGTCGAGCCAGGGCGATCTGCCCCGTGGCCTCGTCGATGGCGAAGCGGCCCTCGGAGTCACCCGCCAGGATAGAGTAGAACACGTCGCCGTTGAGCCCTTCGTCGGCGTCCATCGTGTAGACGCGGAGCACCTGCGTGCCGACGGTGGAGCCCTCGGACACCTGCGTGCGGTAGGGCGTGCGCAGGAAGCGGGGAGGGTTGTCGTTCACGTCCGTGATGTACACGTTGACCTTCACCTTGTCGCGGAGCCGCGGCTGGCCGTTGTCCGCCACGTACGCCTCCAGGGTGACGACGGTCTGGCCCGTGGTGCGGAGCAGCTCCTCGCGGTCGAACATGTGCAGGGTCTTGATGAAGCCGTTGCGCGGGTCCACGGTGAAGTCGTTGTTGGGGCTGGCGATGGAGTATGTGAGCTCGGCGTTGCGGCCCATATCCTTGTCTGAGGCCATGAGCTTGCCGACGAAGGTGTCTGGGGGCTCGTTCTCCCGAAGCACCAAGTTAAACGTGGCGTTGTTGAACTCAGGGGCGTTGTCATTCTCGTCAACCACGTGGATGACCACGGGGACCATGGAGGAGCGCGGCGGGTCGCCGTTGTCCCGAGCCGTCACCGTGAGCGCGTAGTAGTCCTTCTCCTCCCGGTCCAGGGCGCTGCGCACGTACAGGAAGCCGTCTGGAAAGACGCCGAATTTGCCGTCGCCGTCACCCTCCGTGATGCTGTAGGACACCAAGCCGTTGGCGCCCAAGTCCTGGTCGCTAGCTGCCAGAGCAAAGAAACGACTGTTCACCGGTGTGGACTCGAGCAGGGACGTCTCGTAGGAGGTGTGGTCGAAGACAGGTGTGTGGTCGTTGACATCCTCGACAGTCACGACAACCGTGTTCTTCGAAGACAACGCGGGCCTGCCGCTGTCCGTGGCGGTGACCTCGAGCTGCATGGACGTCCCCGGTTCCGTCAAGATGGGGCGGTTGAGGTAGACGACGCCAGTTGTTTCCACGATGCGGAACTGATCGTCTGGGTTCTTGCTGAGGCTGTACAGAATACGGCTGTTGACGCCTGCATCGCGATCCTGGGCGTGAGCAAGGTACACCTCTTGGCCGACGGCCGAGTTTTCGGCCAAACGGACATCTTCGCGCTCACGGCTGAAACGGGGCTCGTTGTCGTTGACGTCCAGGACGGTCACGTTGATGGTGGTCTGCCCGTAGGCGAGCCCGGACCGCGCGGCCACCGTCAACCTGTAGGTGGCGGCCTGCTCCCTGTCAACCCTGCTGGCCGTGGACAGGCCACCCGTCCTCTCGTCCATGTTGAACACCTTGTTGACGTCGCCGAACACAAGGCTGTACCGCACGCTGTCCGCCTCTCCACGTACCTTGACCTGCCCCACGTGTCTGCCTACGGCGGCCTCCTCACGGGAGTCGTCCTCTGCCACCTGGAAGTCATAACCGCGTTCAGATTCAAATTCCAGCTTCTCCAGTTTCCGGGTCTTGACCACCTCGATGAGGGCGTCTTCTGGGGCCCGCCTGTCACCTGCGTCCCTGGCGGACACGCGCAGTCGGTAGAGGGACTTCTGCGCGGCGCGCAGGGGCGACTTGATTGAAAGCACGCCCGTGGCCTCGTCGATGTGGAAGAGCCCCTCACCGCCGCTCTCCACGGCGAAGCGAATCTCGGCGTTATCCCCCTCATCGGCGTCCTGGGCAGTGACACGCGCCACGGACGTCCCCAGGGGGGTGTCGTCGTGCACGTGCACAAAGTACTGTACTGGGTAGAAGACGGGGGAGTTGTCGTTGACGTCACTGACGGTCAAGTGCACAGTGGAGGTGGAGGAGCGGAGCGGCGAGCCCTGGTCTCTCGCCAGGACGACGATCTCGTAGCTGGGGATGGCCTCCCGGTCCAGCTTGGCCTTGGTGGTGAGCTGCCCCGTGATCGAGTCCAAAGCGAAGGCGCCAGGGTAGCGCTGCAGCGCGTCGGCCTGCAGGGAGTAGGTGACACTGCCGTTGGTGCCCTGGTCGTGGTCCGCGGCCGTCAGCATGGCGACGAGGGTGTTCGGGGGCGTGCCCTCCGGCAGCGACACGTTGATCACGTCCTGCGAGAAACGCGGGCTCTCGTCGTTCTCGTCCAGGATGGTCACTTTCAGCTGGGTGAAGGCCCACTTGGGGTTGGGGCCGCCGTCCCGAGCCGAGATGTTGAGCTCGACGGTGCCCTGGATCTCCCTGTCGAGGGCTGCCCTGGTGGTGACCAGGCCGGACCCCGCGTCCACGTGGAACCACTGCTGGTCATTTCCAGACACGATGGCGTAGTAGATTTGGGCGTTGACCCCCGTGTCCTCGTCGGTGGCGGTGATGCCCGCCACGTAGGTGCCCGGGGGCGCCAGCTCGCTCAGCACTGCGGAGTACTCGCTCTTGGTGAACACGGGCTCGTGGTCATTCACATCGTTCACCTGGATGATGAGGAAGGCGGTGGCGGTGCGTGGCGGGGACCCCTTGTCGGCAGCCACAATCGTTAGGTTGTACTTGTTGATCTGCTCGCGATCCAGGATGCCGTTCACGCGCACGATGTCAAAGTCGTTCAGCGAGTCCAGCCGGAAGTGGTTCAACTCGTTACCGGCCGCGATGCCCACGGTCGTGGCGCCGTTTAGGCCCTCGTCTTTGTCAACGACGGAGATGGCGGCCACGACCGACCCGTTGGCCGCGTTCTCGTCCACCGTGGCGAACGTGGACGTGGCGGGGAAGTAGTTGAAGCGGATGGTGGGGTCGTGGTCGTTGGCGTCCACCAGGCTGACGGTCACGTATGTCCTGCCGTCCTGGCGGGGGCTGCCGTGGTCCCGGGCGAACACTGTGAAGACACACGACTTTGGACAGCTACCGCGCCGGGGCTGGGCGTTCTCCCCTTCTTGTGAGGTCTGTGGGCAGCTCTGCTGGTGTGGGCAGTCCAACGACTCGGTCGTGGTGATGACGCCCGTCTCCGGGTCAACGACGAACTGTCTCTCCAGGTCAGCCAGATAGTAGGTTATCTTGGCGTTGTCGCCCTCGTCTGAATCGGTGGCCATGACCTGCAGAACAGCTGATCCGGGCGTCACAGACTCATTGAGCGACACGGTGTAGTCCGAGTGGTCGAAGATGGGCGGGTTGTCGTTCACATCCAGGATGGTGACGTTGACCTGCAGGTATCCGTGTCTGGGCGGTGTTCCACCGTCCCTCGCCGAGATGTTGAGCCTGTAGTTGGCCCTCGTCTCCCGGTCGAGCTTGCCCGTCGTCTCCAGGTGCAGGTAGGCTCCGCCGGCCGGGTTGTCGGTGACCTCGAGCCTGAACTTGTCGTCCACGTTGCCGTCCACGATCTGGTAGTCGTTGGACACGCCGTTGGCGCCCTGGTCCTTGTCCGAGGCCGCATCCAGTAGCAGCCTCGTGCCCGCGGCCGCGCTCTCCGAGAAGGACACCGCGATGGAGGACTCGGGGAACTCGGGGCTGTTGTCGTTGACGTCCACTACCACGATGCGGACCTCGATGGGGTAGGTGGGCTGGGACGATAGGACCACCAGGTCGTAGCGCTCATTGCGGAGGGACTCCCTGTCCAGGACGGTGGTGGTCCTGATCTCCCCCGTGGTGGCATTGAGCGTGAACTGCCGGGGTGGCTCGTTGAAGCGGTAGGTGAATCCTGGCTTGGTCGGTATGCCGCCCACCACTGTGCCTCGGGGCTGGCCTTCCAGAATCTCCAGCTGGACGCGCGTCTCCACGGCGCGGGACTGCATCTGCTCGCCGGGGCCCTGCCCTGACCCGGGGCCCGGTCCTGGCCCGGGCCATGGGCCCTGCGCGTGCACGGACAGCGCCAGCTGCGCGAGCACGCACAGGGCGTGCAGGAGGGCGTGCACGCTCGCACGCATGGCTTTGCACATCACATCATCACTGTATCCAATCACACGCTCACACTATCACTCGCGACACACTTTATCACAGAAGCACACGCGTTCACTATCACATTCACACGACGCGACACTTGTCCCGGTGCGATCAGCCCGACGCCACGCGACACGTACGAGCCTCACCTCGCTGCGTTCCAGCACTCACTGAGGAACCCTCCTCCCTTCTCCTCCGCCCGCCCTCCCCGCCCGGCTCCAGGCCGGTCCCCTCCCCCTCACCCACCCCCTTCCCTCCACCTGTGCGCCCGCCTACGGTCCGCCGCGGCCGCCTGCTCGGGCTGGCCGTTCGCCTGTCTGCCTGCCAGCCCGGTGGGCTGGTCAGGTCGCTTCGGAGGCAGCTGCCCGCACCTGAGCCCCGGGGCGGAGCGGGACGGCAGATACGCCCCGGACGCGGCCCCGCTCGGCTGGGCTCGGCTCGGCTCGCTCGTTGGGTTCGGGTCGGGTCCGTCGGGTCTTTCGGGCCGCGCTGGCGGTCATGTCGCTATGGCTCGAGTCTCACCAACTTGTGCTCCCCGAGCTCGGCCGCCGCGGAAAGTCAAGATTTGCGGCCGTTTCTGGACGACGAGGAGTCCATCGGGCCCCCATAGCGACCTGCCATCGTGGTCCTTACCTAACCAGCGTCACCGGCGTCGACAGGTCCCCGTCGTGCGGCCCGGGCGGGTCGGCGAGGACGCGATCTCGGCCGCGGCCGCGGCGCCGTGCACGGGGAGCTCCGGTGGGTGTGGCGTTGCTCCACGCTGCTCCCTTTCTTGTTCGTGCACTCACACACTGGCCTGCCGGGCCCGCCGGGCCTCGGGATGAGAATCTAGCTAGGGAGGATTGGTATTCAAGATGGCGGCGGCCGCGCGGGCCTGTGCGGGCCACGATCGCAGCGGTCGCCCCGCCCCGCCCCGCCACGCCCGGAGTCAAATGGGGAAGGATGGGGCGGACAGGGGCTCCTGCCGTGTTTTGGACCTGTCCGCTCATCGCCGCTGGTCAACATGGCGTGGGGCGACGCGCTGTGGACGCACGCGGAGGCTCCGGCACCGCGGTCATGCATGCCTATCTATCTATCTATCTATCTATCTATCTATCTATCTATCTATCTATCTATCTATCTATCTATCTATCTATCTATCTATCTATCTATCTAGGATCAGCAGAAAG